ATGCGAGTGGCAAGATCAATAATTTAATCCGCATCAACTCTTCGTTACCATTCGTGAAGTGTGATCTCGAAAGTGTCATAACACAGAGTCCCCAGAACCCATTCACCATCAGGTTTTCACACACATTGTTAATATCATACAACTGTTTCTGCAACAACCAAAGCCAAAGAATACTTCCATGAGAAACCCTTGTGGTAACATTAAAAATGTTACCTCTCATCAACTCCCACATCATTACCCATATTTAAATACCTACCTACCTACATCATTTTTCTTTGAAAAAAATGATTTCTACATCATATGAATCATTTTCACATAAACAATTAAGATAAACAAGTTCACACATGTACCTATTACAATAGATCTCAAATTATGTACTCGAGAATTATCTCCAATGTATTCAATGCAACCAAAATCAAAATCAGTTGAAATACTGAGGTTGAGCAGAAAAGAAAGAATACCTCGTGACAATTGAAGATCTGGACTTATTGCCTCTTCCCTCGGATTGGGAGAAAGGAGACTTGGTTTCGATTTTGGTTTAGAAGCGGCGGATGGTTATCTCTATGCTATCCTATTTATACAGGTGGAACAGAAACTACAACCCTAAAAGCGTTGAGAAATGATTCTACAAACTAGTATCCTGACCGTTGAAATTATAAAAAACGATCCAACGGCTCTGTAGGAACAGAACCATTTATCTCCTGTTTCGGCTTCGTTGAAAATTGATTTTGGGTAAAAAAGTCATTTAGACATGATTATTCGATATCCCTCGAATGGAGGGGATAAAGGCAAAGAAAAGACAACGAAAGCAAAAAGAACGACCAATGGAAGAGATCTATGTATTTTTGTAGTTTAGAAATTGAAATAAGAAGAAGAAAATAAGCTAAACGGACTTTGAAGCTGTACTTTAGATTAGTATTTGAAATGAAAGATATTATAGAAGCTAATTTTTTGATTTTTTTTTTTCCTTTTAAGCACAACATTTATTTCGTGTTTTTATTTTCTATGAATTAAAATTACTAGCTCTGATAGTAACAATATCTAACTCAAAATCAATTTACAATGAATAGATTGACTTAAGATCCTATGTGCACTAATACTCATTCTTCGTGATATATAATCTTAACATTTACTGATGTCTTTCATTTTAGTATTATTATAAAGTTCGATCTACTTTTGTTTCCTTTTTCGATTTGTACCACAACTTACATGAAGTAGTGAAGGTATGCTTGTCATTTCATTTGCATATAAGAGCACTTCCATCCTATTTTCTTTTGTCAGGGGGCCTATGCTCTAAAAACAACCTTCACCCAAAAAAAAATTTGCCATAACAAGAAGTGGGTCATGAAACTGGACAAGCTCGAAGGCAAGATTTGTCTGGGTTGCTGCCTGGGCAACTTTACGTTAGTGTGACGTCAGTGACCAATTTAAATATCCAAAAAATTGAGGAAAAAAGAGAGGAAAATATACCCCCCAAAATTCAGATTTTTTTTTTCTATAAATACCTAGACATGTTCTTCACTTCACACACCAAAATCCATACAAATTCATCTCCTCATATCCCATGTGAATAGTGATTACTCTTGGATTGGCATGGCAATGGGTGGGAATGTATCAAAAAAATTGCTAGGACATTCACTATTCACATTAATAGTGTCTGTCCTTACTTGCTCATGCCCTTTGTCATGGCACAACGGATGGAAGTACTCTAATACATTTTCGGGTGAGATGGAAGACATTTGATTATTAATTAACTTATGTGATTAACGCAAAGGATGTGGTTTTATTGGGTGTGTATTGTCAAAATCAAGTTTGGCCGGTCATTACCTTAGAAATGTTATATATCTTCGTATATTATTCCTTAGTTCCTTCCTCACATAAAAGCAAGCGCTAAAAATTACTTTTGCTTAGTGAATTGAAATTTTAAATGAAAATAACAAAGTTCATTCGGTCTTGGTGATTTCCTTGAAGCTAGTCTAACGGAGTATATTAACACGACATTATTTTTTCTTAATTTGTGACGGAGTTTGATATTTGATTTGATTTTCGTATATAATATATTTGGGACTAGCGAGAACCAGACAAATCTTGTTTTCATTATACCATGCCTACCTTACAAATCTTGATCATCTTCCTCTTATGCTTCTTCTTCATTCCTGACCACATTAGCACAGCAAGCGCCGCCGCCTGTGCCGAATCGGCATGCTCTTCTAGTTATATCTCATCGATTCCGATTAAATTCCCTTTCCAGTTAAAGACCCTAGAGCCCTCACGTTGTGGGTATGAAGGGTTTGATGTCTCATGCAACAAAAGCAACCACAGTCAAACCCTTCTCACTCTCCCATCTTCCGGGGACTTCATCGTCCAAGGAATCTACTACTTGCGCCAAAGACTAGTGATTTCTGACCCCGCTAACTGCTTGCCTAGGCGGTTCCTAGAACATGACTTCAGTTTAATAGGTTCACCCTTCTCATTCGTCGATGGCCTCGAAAACTATACGTTCCTCAACTGCTCCTACCAAGTAGAAACATCGCATGAATCTATTTCTTGCCTTAGCAATGAGCTCTACAAGGTCATTGGTGTGCCGTCGAACTCGATTAATTTTTCTGCTCCTTCTCTTTGTTCTGTGATTTCCACAGCTTTGGTTCCACTCTCAGGTTCATTTGAGTCTCATGGCTGGGACTTGCTTAACTATTATTTTGAGTTAGCATGGGATGTGCCTGATTGTCGATTTTGTGAACAATCGGGTAACGTTTGTGGGTTCAAGGATGGTAAAAGCTCGGAGCTCAAGTGCTCTAGTTTTTATTCTTCGAAAAAGGGTATTGTCTTATGAGTAATTTCAACCTAATTGAGATTGTCATATACTTGACCATGAACTAATTGAATTAATGCAACTCAATGTTGCAATTTCTCAGGAATTGCAAAGTACGCTTTCATGGCATTCACTGGAATCATGGCAATAATTTTCACCCTTACGCTTGTACTTGGACTGAGGGATTCTCGCCGGGCACACCAACTCATGACAGAGCTATCCACCATAACAGATCGACGACCTCTGGTAGTCAGGATAGGCCTTGACGATGCAACCATCGAGTCATATCCCAAGACTCAACTTGGTGAGAGTTGGGAATTGCCCAAGCCTAATGACAATACTTGCCCAATATGTTTGGGCACGTACAAGCCAAAGGAAACATTGAGAACCATATCAGAGTGCAACCATTATTTTCATGCTAGTTGTGTAGATGAGTGGCTTAAGGTGAGCGCGACGTGCCCGCTCTGTCGAAACCCCTCAAAGGGAAACAAAATAAGTCATTTGACTATTGAGGCATGATTATTTGGTTTTTTCATTTTGAATTTACTTCTTATTAGCATTCTTTGTCTGAAATTTTGGAGCTGTAATTTTTTTAATTGCTTTATTTGGTATTAGTATTTGAAATGAAAGATTATGTAAAAGCCAACCTTTATTTTCAGAACTTGGTTTCACTAAAAAAAAAAAGGTGGCAACAATCACTATTATTTGGTGACATTTGTTGGGGTGATTAAAGGCTTTAGTCACCCAAAAAGTCTTTAGTCACTCCAGCAAATGTCACCAAATAATGATGACTGTTACCCCCTTTTTTTTTGGGTAGTGTTTGCATTTACTTTATACATTAATTATTAATAAATTATTGTCGGCACTTTGACTCATATTTGATCCATATAAATCAAATCAAAAACGCGTCCATGATCGCACAAACTACGTACCCGTTATTTGATCCATATAATATATACATGTAGAAAACAAGAAGCAAATAAAACAAGATTTTTACGAAGTTCACCCGTTATTTCAACCCGCTATTCCAACACTCTTCCTCTTCATTATAGAATTTGATCTCTTTTTTGTCTTGTTCTCATTCTGTGCCACAATTTATGTTAGTCAAAGTATTATTGTGATTGATTAGTAGATAATATATGGGGTGAGGTGGATACGTGTGTGTTTGATGGCAGACATTTGATCCTTATACGTATTACTAATGTGGTTTATTGTCACAATCATGACTGGCCGGTCATTATTCAAATATAATCTAGTTTTGATCACCTATGCTTCACTCACATGGCTCCCTTAGCAATCTTCACCATCTCCTTATGCTGCTGCTGCTTCTTCTTCTTCTTCTTCCCTCATAAAGTAGCAAGCGCTACCAACTGTGTTGAATCACATGTACACCGGCCGGCGAACGGATTCGATTTCCTTTCTGGCTAAGAAACCTTCAACCCTCAAGTTGTGGATATCAAGGGTTTGATCTCTCATGCAACAACCAAACCATTCTCACTCTCCCATCTTCCGGGGACTTCTTCGTCAAGACCATCAGCTACAGGGACCAAATCGTATGGCTCAAAGACCCCGATAACTGCCTCCCTAAGCGGTTCCTTGACGATGACGTCAGTCTTCAAGGTACACCCTTCTTATTTGCTCAGGACCTTGAGACATACACTTTCCTCAACTGCTCAGCATCCCAAGCAACAGAGTCTTCAGCCATCCCTTGCCTCAGTAGTGACTCTTACGACGTCATTGTCGTGTCGTCGGGTTGGTCAACGTCATTGTCAACGGCTAATCATGCATCGTCATCATCTCTCTGCTCTGTGATTTCGACAGCTTTGGTTCCACCAAGTTTGGTTGAGGGATATCTTAGCTCTAGTCTCCAGTTGGCTTGGAGTGTGCCTGATTGTGGTTCTTGTGAAGCAAACGGTATAATTTGTGAGTTGGAAAATGCTACAAGTTCACAAACTATATGTCCGCATTCAAAATCAGGTATAATTGGACATATATTTCTACATACCATCGCCTAAATATTATTACAGAAAATTTGGTTTAATGAACTAAGGAAAATTAATGCAATTTCAATTTTCCAATTTCAGGTCCTTCAGGTCTTTCAAGCGCTGCACAGAACGGCATAATGTTAGGTGTGGGAATTCCAGCGCTATTTTGCGTCATTGGGCTTTCTTTTTATTTTCACAACAGAATGAGGGCTCCTGATCAGCTCCGTCAACCAGTATCTGCCGATGTACCCAATCGGCAACCTCCGGTACTCGCAATATCGGGTCTTGATGGTCCGACCATCGAGTCATATCCCACGACTGAGCTTGGTGAAACTTGGGAACTTCCATATCCCAATGACAACACTTGCCCAATATGTTTGGCTGAGTACCAGGCCAAGGAAACATTGAGGGCTATGCCAGAATGCAACCATTATTTTCATGCTAGTTGTATAGACGAATGGCTGAAAATGAATGCAACGTGCCCACTTTGTCGAAATCCACCAGAGGCTAGCAAAATAATAAATCCTGTGATTGAGACATGATTGTTCTGTATTTCTATATACCTTCAATTAGACATGATTGTTCTGTATTTCTTTTTCCTTCGTAAAGTAATCACTAACTTAAATATTATCTTTATTACATCATCACCTTAATATTATCGAATAAAGGTTTTTTTTTCTTCTTTTGGGAACAGATTGAAAAGTAACAGTTCATTTGGCTTTTGTTTATGTCTCTAGTCTTAACAGGTTTGAACTCTAAATACACAAATCGATATGTTTTCTTCATTTTGGCCATTATAATCAGTACACTATACAAAGTCTTCTCTGGAAAATTTTTATGTTGGTCACTAAAGTTGAATCATTTTGTTAACGAGACGGTTTCGATTTGGGACACAATTTGAGAAATTTAAGCATATATATCTGGGTTTTGACGTACGATTTTGCTCAACATATATATAGCGAGAAGCATTTCAAAAGCTTTTCGTTCACTTTTGAAATATTAGCCTTCTCTCTTAGTATATTCCCCCGGCGATTAGCGAAGATTCTGATAAGACAGCTTATCTCTGATGTGTGTACGGGGATTCTTTCTTGCCGGTCAATCAATGTTTTGATGATGTGCAAGTGCATGCTTATTTTTATATATGGCCAGAACTGATTAGAATGCTAATTTGGATTGCAGATATATATATATATATATATAAATTGATCCTCTTTCTTTCTTATAGTTTTTTTTTTGCCATAACTTGTACTAGGTTACTAGTCAAAGTATTCGAATTTTGTCTATAAATGTATTGGGGGAGATGGGAGACATATTTGTAAATAATTTACTATATTAATTAACCACTAATGTGCCTTTAATTATTTGGTTTCTAGTCACAATAATCATTGGCCGGTAATTACAAAAAACTATATATAACAATTCTCTAGCTGCTAAAACATTTCAGTTCCACCCCAGCTCATATGGCAACCTTGGAAGTCTTCACCTTCCTCTTATTCTTCTTCTCCTTTCATCAAAAAGCAGCAACCAAATGTGGTGGAACAACAAGCACTGCCAATGCTCCATCCCTTCGATTCCCTTTCCTTCTCAAAAATCACAAACCCTCCCATTGCGGGTATCCAGGGTTTGATCTCATCTCATGCAATAGCCAAAGGCTTTGATCATTCTTCAAAATTTTGTAAGTTATCATTTAATTTAGGGATAAAGTTACATTTGATCCTTGCATTGTTCACTTTGGTTGGGTTTCATTTTCAAGGACACGTACAAAAAATTTCATCCAATTCTGTTCAAAATACTCTCCATGTGAGGGGCACATGCTTATTTCATCACAAAATTTGGACGTGTCTTTGAATTGCAATGAATATCATTATGGTGAAATCGCCATAATTGAAATCAGATGGGCCAATACATAGACCAAAACTTAATTTATGACTAAGCTCCATTTATCATGTCATAGATACTAATGTTGTGAAAAAAGAAAAAAAAATATCAGTCTCGATCTTTTCAGGTCTCTCAGGGGCCTGCAAAGTATGCCATACTATTGAGCGTGCGAATTCAGGAAAAACCTCTAAAATTATTTCAATATTGGACCTTGGACATATAATAGTTCTGAATAGAATCTCGCTGTTGGGCATCATTGGGATCGTATTTTATGTTAGTGACAAGATCAGGGCTCATGAACTTCTCCAGCAACAGCAACCCACCACAGATTTATCAATCAACAAAACAGATCCTCCCGTAGCCATAAGGGGCTGGATGATATGACCATCCAGTCTTATCGCAAGATTGAGCTCGGTGAGACTTGGGAGTTGCTCGAGCCCAACAACCACGCGAGTATAACCTGACTGCAACCATTATTTTCATATTAATTGTGCGGACGAGTGGCTTAGGACGAATGGAACATGCCCTCTCTGTCGAAATCCACCACACCGACAGCAACGAACGATTGATTAGGGACAGCAATTTTGTGGCAATATTAAGTCATCAGATGTGCAGACAATGACATATATATGGTTCTGCTTTTTTTCTAATGAACAAAATATACTTCCTAGTGTCTTGTTTCGTTTTGAAAATTTGAAGCTAATCTAAGACTCTACACGTGTTTAATATCAGTGTTCCAAGTGGAAGATTGTCAAGTATATTTCAACTTGAAATTTGGTCCTTCGAATCGTTGAAGGACACGTCGACATGTTGTTTTGATATCATATTAGAATGCAAATATTCAATTAAAATCTACATGAGGTAGAGAGGCTCAAATTTTTTAAGATGTTAATAAACTAAGTTTTAATCGTTCGATATAGGATACTCTCAACTTATTCTTAACACCAATAGTATATTCTTTGTCTAAAAAATAAAAACATCTCATTTATTTTATAAACTGTATGCATATTAATTTTGCTATATATTTATATTTATATTTGGAAAGAAAAGACGTCTGATGATCGATTTTGGTTTTTTATATACAAATACAGAGTTTGAAGATTTAAGGCAAGGAGTAGTTCAAATTCAATGATCACTCTCTCTCTCCTTCTTCTCTTCCATGATTCCTCTGTATATGGTGTACTTTTTGATGAATTATGGATAACAAATTGGAAATTTAGTCCTTTTAAGATTAGGAGGATTGTTTTGTTCACTTACTCTTTTATGTCATATTTTTACTTTCTTTGGATGAGCATAAGTAGTGTGACAGCAACAGCCCAACCATGAAAAATCATTTTCCTGCATAAAATGCAAGTCTCTGGTCTTAGCTCTTAACAATAACCCCTGATATATCTGGTTCATGTGATTTACATGACAATCAAATTCTAACCACACAACAAATTAACAAATTAACAACCAAACACCCCCTTATAAATAAACTACTCCCACTATCCCACTATCCCTAACACATCTATCATACAAACCAAGCAACTTATAAGGCCAAATATGATTCATCAAGCCATTCTTCTACTGTTCTTGCTGGCTTCTGCTTCTGCTTCAGCCATGGGGCCTGCACCCTCGTGCCCCGACATCACATACCAGTTGGGCCCTTGCATTTCTTACCTGCTGCAAATTGAGGTGGCACCGCCTCCGGCTTGCTGTGATGGTGTCAAGTACCTCAGCCAGTATTCAAGTGACAAGGAAGATAGAGAGGCTATATGTTGGTGTATCAAGGGCGCAGCTAGTATGATGGGGCTTACTGATTTTCCTCTCATTTCTGCTCTGCCTAATACCTGCGGCGTTTCTGTAAAACTTCCACCTATCTCTAGCGAAATTGATTGTTCCCAGTAAGCAGTCTTGGATTCTTGGCTAACTTTGTCATCTATATATGTGTATGCATGAAGAGAAAAGACTGATTTTTTTGGTTTCTTATATATACAGGGTCTGAAGATGTAGAGGAAGGAGCTAAAGAGTTGGGCAATGTTTGAATAAATTAATGCGGTTCTTCACCGTTTGCAATGGGAAAGGAATAATTATGTGAAAGAAAGAATTGTAATGAGAATAATGGAATATGTGGAATAATATTTACTTTGCGGTACTTGTGGAAGATGATTACCTCATCACTTCTATAATTGAAGACAAATTCTTACTCTCCATTTTAAAATTTTGATTTGCCGAGTTTTTTAAGGCAAAGAAAATAAAATTTCATAGTATTGCTCATGGCTTTTATACACTCAAGAATTACCGGATATTCACGTACATAAACTCAAATTATTTATTGATTCAGCGTGACCTTATGTGTAATTGTTTCGTTTTCAAAAGCTACAAAATGCGATCAAACAAAATATAAATAAAAAGTAAATTAGAACACCACAAAAGTTTACATCCAGCACATTAACCATGTTCAAAATAAATGAATCATAATGAAAAAATGAAAAATGAAAAACAAATAGAGTATACTTCACTTTTTTTGGTTGTAAAATCTCAAAATGCTTCAGAGACTGATAGTTTAATGAGAATGTCAATTTTGCCCTCGATCAACTAAAATCCCAACGAACTTGTACCCGTGAAAAAACCTAAACCGCCATTGATCTCAGCTCACATCTCAGACAGGAATCTAGGACTGTCTGTTTCTCTCTCTCTCTCTCTCTCTCTCTCTCTCAGGTACGGCCCAATACCTCTCCGACAATCAAGCGAATCCAAATTCAGTCAGATTCAAAATCCATCGTCTTCGAGACTCTGTTAGGGTTTTATTAGGGTTTAAAGATTCCTTTTTTCTTCCTAATTCATTTGAACTTTTCTGTATAGAGAGCTAGTCATACACAGACAGACGTATCGATACACATCAATGGCTTACTGGAGAAGCCTCTCCACCAGAGCGAGCTTTACAGCTCGACGACGACAGAACCATCCGTCCATCACTCACATTCTCCAAGACGACGACCGCAAGCACGACGTCGTTTCTGAACAAGCTTCTTCGCCGAATTTGAATCATTTTCTAAGCCAAAAGCGATTTTTCGGGAACAATTTGAGCAGAATTTCGGGTTTTGGCGGTTTTGCTCAAGACAGGAGGATTTCAAATGCTCTGCTTTCGTCCGGTTCTGGGTTCGCGTGCTCTCGACATATGTCGACGGCGATTGGTGGCGGTTCCGATAAGGTAGAGCTGTTGAGTGATGTATCGGGGGTTGTATCGGACGCGACGATGGAAGCCGTGGCTTCTCAGGTCTCGGCAATGAGCGAAATTGCAATTGCCACCGCAGATTCGTGGCTGCCGGTTAAGGCCTTGCAGTACTTGATTGGTTCTGTGCATACTTATACTGGCTTGAACTGGTTAGAAGCTATTTGCTTTTGATTATTTTTAATTGTTAATTTTCTTTAGGCCAATCTTTGAATTTGTGAATGATCTTAAATGGAAAAGAATTTAGCCCCTTTTATTTGATTTTCTGAAGCCAATTTCTGAAATTGTATGTTAATTGGGTGAAATGATTTGCCTACACAGAACATTTTTTGTTTTGTCTAGCAGCATATATAGTGGGTATGATTGGTTTTGATATTGTATTACATTATGAAGGTATTTTATTGTTTGTTACTTTTCAGGTGGGCTGCCATAGCAATAACAACTCTT